GTCCCTGTTCCAACCATCACACCCTGGCACACGGAGTCACAGCGCTGCTCGTGTTTGGCCTGGCCCCCTCTGTCATGCCAATAGGTCATTCCTGCATTCCAGGTCTCAACACCAGTCACTCAAAGTTGGCCCAGCTTCCCTTCCATGACAACAGGAGAGGAGCATCTGGCTTGTACCTGAGCAGCACTGTGACTTTGCACATCAGCTCACAATTCCCAGAGCAGGGAGCTGGACCCTGTCACATGGGATAAAACCTCAGGAGCCACTGCTGAAGGCTGAGTTTATTAAAACCACAGACAGAAAGATGAGTCACAGACAAACTGGGATATCATAGCATCCACAAGACGTTTCACACCACGATGAATATGCAGCCCTAGTTTTCTTTATAATTCAAGGAAGGCTAAAAAGTCAAATAAGTGAGTTTTGTCTTTGATTCTGAAGAAAAGAGTTTCCTGACCATGCTGGTGTGAATGAATTCCATCATCATGGGAAGCTCAGTCCTCCATGTTTATGAGTCTCGCCCTTGTGATTGATGATTCTGTTATCCTTGAGAAGTACAACTGTTGTAGGTCAATATGACTGTGTAGTGGGAGGCAGTTCTTCTGACAACCTGTGTAGGGCATCAGGACCAAACCCTTGAGTTGGCAGTGTAGCCAGCGCAGCCTGCGGTCGGAACAAGGTCTCTTTCCAGCCTGGTATGCTGAATAGCCAGTGGCTGACTTCAGAACCAACTGGAGATTATTCAATGGGGACCTTCAGTGTTACATAAAATACAATAATTAAGTGAAGGTGTCACTGATGTATGGCTCCTTGTGGCCAAATGAGGTTGGATGGGATTGGATCCTGACTTTGGTCTGGAAGAGATAGAAAGGGTCATTTTTTTACATCCCCTGATCTTTAGGTATCCAGAGGGACCTCACAACAGCAACCTGTTTCAATGCTAAGAGAGTAGATGACCTTAATGGAGGTCAGGTTATAGATATGGCAGGTTCTTCAAAGTTCGCCCTTCTTCCCATAAGCATCATCTTTGTCCTGCTCGGGCTCAACTTCAGCTAGTTATTCTTCATCGACAGGTATAAGGGTGATGGTACTGTTGATGTTGGGTGCTAAAGAAGATATGTAAAACTGGCTGCCATCAGTGTATTGTGGGTACTTTAGCCTATGTCAGTCACTGAATGGGAGATGATGCTGGTGCAGATATGGGCTAAGCCAGGTAAAAACTGCAAGTTACCTGCAAAGGATGTGAAATATCCTGTGTTGACTGAAAGCATTTAACAAAATGTCTCTGAAGAAGAGTTATTTTCCCAAGCATGTTTGGGGGAGCAGGTAGCATTGTCCTATGAACACATTAACGGTAGGACTGTTCTTCAACCACTTGGATTATTTTCTTTAGCCTGAGTGACTGTTGCAAAATATTTTGATTTCAGAAGAAAAGGGATTTAAAACCAGGGAACAGATAGTTTTGTATCCAATAAGCCAGATTTTTATGGCTACGTTTTAAAAAGTTGGCTATTAGGTTTCTAGGACAATTTCCCCCCTCCCCCCCAAAAAAAACCCTCACAACAACTATGATCTAATTTAACAACTGCTTTGTTTTAGTGATACTGGAGAGATTGTTTTCTATACACATCAAAATGATCAGAAGACTGGAACAGACTAGACAATCTGTCTACAAAAGTGATTCTTTCTCTTCCCCCTGGCATGCTTTTCCTTTTCCTTTCCTTTTTCTCTCCTTCTTTGTCTCACTGTTTTTAAATCTCACTTTCTGTGTGTGTGTCCCTCACACTCTCAATCTCACACACAAATTAAATGATCTTTTCAGACAGGCGTCACAGAAAAGCTGTTTTTTAAATTAACACAGGCTCTGCTTTTTATTGAGTAGACCGTAACAGCTAATATGATTTGCACCTTCTTCTTACCAGCTTTCTATTATTAGAAATATATATTATGAGGACTTAGATGCTGGTAAATATTAGTCATCAGTAGGGCTGCTAATTGTGTAGATTAATTAATTATGCCAATTGGATTTATTATTCCCGAACAGCAAGAGGAGCCTGTATTAAAGTAAGAGTCCCTGCTTGCCTTATAGTTTTAGAATTAGTGGAACAGCTTTTCTGTCTCTCATAAATCTGACATCTGATAATTAGTGCTCAGATACATGATGCGGGAGTGGGGAGGGCGTCATACTCCCCTCTGCCCCCTCCATACTTACTTTCAATCCTGGTGCCATTGCTCATCATGCTGAGCCGTTCATCTCAGACAATTCCAATGACTTCCCCAGTTGCTGTCAGAACATTTGGAAGCACATTAATATTGGGGGTGACTTCAGCAAGCTTGCTGGTTAAGATTATTGGCTGTGTTCTTGTAAAGTGGCTTCTGGGTCACCAGAAAAAATATTCTATCACCTAAAAATATTATTTCTGAAACCTTCCCATCCTGATCTCTGCTCCCAGCTCCACATAGCTGGCTGGGACCTCGCTAGGATCCTCTTCCCATGTAGTAATACAGGAAGAGCAAGGTGGTTGTGAACCCCAGCCATTTGTTTGTGTACCCTAGGTTGAAAATCCAGAGTCTGGAAATTATATAGCTACTGCAGGCCTAATCTGTCTCTCCTTTCATCCAGATGTTAATTGTGTACTGGCTGAGAGAGGGCCAGCACTGAGTAGGAACAGAGCAGTGCCCATGCAGTGCTGAAGGGCCTATAGATGAGTCATACTCTTCAGGCCAACAAACTAGAGGCAGAGACAATCACAGACTACAGGTTTGATTCAGAAACACAGCTCCTGTGGTGTTACGGGCAGTTGCCTGGCTCCCCATGTGACACTGAATCAAAAATGAACTGGGTCTGCATCGGCCAACAACAGAAACAATCCAGCTTTTAAAGGCTTTTTATTATTGTTCAGTAACAAGGCAGCTTTGTACCATAAATAGAAAGGAATGGCGCACATCCCCATTTGTCTCAGGTGGATACGAAAAGCCCTTTCTTCCCCTGTTTGCGACACTCCCCAGAGTTCAGCCTTTTGAGTAGCAGGTGAACATAGAAACCACTAACAAAGACAAATTGGAAAGACCCCTCTTCTCTTTTATGTCTGCATCACTTTGATGGATCCCAGCAGATTCCCTCCTCTGGGGTCACCCAGAGTCAGCTTCCCCTGCAGGTGTTTGTCTGCATCCACTAAGATGCCTTGGAGGGGAAGTGTAAAATTCTCTTCTTCTTGCCTCAAGGGAGGCGTTTAACCCCATCACTGCATCGCCAATTCCCCTGTTAAATCCTTGCAACTGGATCAGACATATTGTGGTCATATATATTCAGTGTAAATGCAGGAGTAGCCTGAACAGAACTCTAAAGATGGACATTGGAATCACTGTCCATTGGTATCTGGACCTTAGCTTTTTATTGGATTGACTGTTACTGCCAGAGCTATACTGAGCAGGGTAGCCTAGGCAGGGATGAAAGTTCTGATGTTATTTTGCTTGCAGTTTTAAACTAGTCCAAGTAAAATTAAATGGAAATGAAAATGAAATTCAGGCATCATTTGCAGTTCTGGGTATACTGAAGTTGTCCATAGTTCTTGTTCTTAGTTCTTTCTGACATGCCCTCAGCTTCTGCTATCCTTTATTGCTCCTTCAAGTCCTTTTCCTTGTCATATACCTTGATGGGAGACAGGCATTTTGCCTCTGAAAGTCAAGTCAAAACAGCTCTCTCTCTAAGGGCATGTCTTCACTATGGGCTGGATTGACAGGGCAGCAATCAATCCAGCAGGGGGCAAGTTATCGTGTCATGCAGAGGTGATAAATTGACCACCAATGGTTCTCCCATCATCTCGGGTACTCCACCCAACTATCCCCAGCAAGAAGTGCAAGGGGAGTCATGTAGCTACAGTTGCATAATTTCGATCAGGGCTACTCAACATGTGGCCTGTTTATTTGCTGCCCGCAGTGCAGTTTGGGTTTATGCAGGGCTCCTTTGAACATGGCCTCCACTGGGAACATGCGCCACAACGACAAGGCGTCTCCCAGGCAGAGTGAGCACTGAAAGACACAAGCAGACGGGCTGGCTGGAACAGACGGGTACAGAGTCTTGGCGTTTTTAGCCAGGGCATTGTGGGAAGTTCAGGCTGCTTAGCCTTGTGGGCAGAGCCTGAGAGGTGCTGACTGGCTCACACTGGCACATTTGAGTTTGGTGCTGTGGCCGGACAGCCCTGCCTCCATCCTGCACGGAGCGACGGACTCCTGCGTGGGGACGTCAGTCCTGCTGGGAATCCAGGACAGAGCTCCCGGGCACCTGTCCTTTTTTGCCTCTCATGTCCAGCCTGACTCGCCCAGTTCCCCGCCCACTGCAGGTTGAAGTGCTCTGGCTTGGAAACTTTTTCTGAGTAAAATCACTTCAAGAAACGCACAACCTGAAGCTTCAAGCTAAACACCCAAAACACTGGTATACAATTTTCTTTTTAATAAGAAGCATTAAAAATGGCAAAAAAAGAAGATGTTTGTTGGATGAACACAGAGTTTTCAACCCTGTTTGGGAGATGGAATTTGCATGTATATTTGCTTGTATATGCAACCACACTTAAGTTGCAGCCCTCAGCATGTGCTATGAGTATCCAAGTGGCTCCCAGGGCTTCCAAAATTGAGTAGCCCTGATTTAGATCGATCTCCCTTGTAGTGTAGATCAGCCTGAGGAGAGGAGAGAATAAACAAGCAGTTCCTCACTTTGGTCTTTGCTTTGTCACAAGTCCACCAACTCTTTTTGACTTAAATATCTGTTAGCAGTGGCAGACCTAACGTCTTTAAGGAAATACCTGAAATGCTTAGCTCAGTCTAACAGTCCTAGTAATGACATGATGTAGGTTTAGATTCAAGTCTCAGAAGTGATCAGTCCATTGTGTTATAACATCGTACTTATGTGGCTGGATGCTAAGGAAAAGCCAGAAGGCACAAGCAGTGAACTCAAGTAGTATTAAGCCATTTGAAAATGATCCCTTTTTCTCTTCCTTCAGGCATTTCTGCACAGAATCAGACAGAATGCTGTGGATAACGCCGAGAAATACATAACAGAGGAGAATGTCAAGGTATTTCTTCCATCTTTCTCATTTCATTGGCAGTTTTATTAGTTCACGTGAAGAACTCGTAATTAGTGGCAGAGAATTCTGGGGAAATTATTCATTTCAGTGAATGAGAAACCAAACACCCACAGGTCATATCCACACTTGTTTTTCATTTGTTCTTTGTGAACATTTTGCAAGTGATGTTTGGCTTGTAGGAATTTTAGTTAGAAACAGTTCTGGAGATTTGTAGGCAAGTGAAATTTGTAGCCGGCAGAAATGGAAGTACAAGAGCTTCAGCCATTAATTCAGGCTCATAAACTAAATTGTGGTTTGCTTCTGTAGTGGTAAAATCAATGGAAGCAAAGCTGATGATCTGACAGTAATAGAATAATGTGACAGCAGTAACGTCCTTCCCATGACATGAATATGGAGTTGAACACGCTTTCTTTTCCCCAGAGATGGTCTCTTCTTTTCATTTATTGGTATGGCTGTAATGTCGATAGACCCCCAATCAATGCGCAGGCCTCTGTTATGCTCCTCGATGTACAGACATTAACAGTAGACCTTGCTGCAGACAACTCACTCTCTACATGTCAGACAGACCCGCTGGGAGGTGCAAACCAAGCCAGACGATGTGGAGGTGGGTTGGCAAGATAAGGCAACTATAAAATGAACAGAGGTTAGCTGAAAAGTTAAAATCAACAGCTCATCACTTAGTTCAACTGTGAGAATGATTTGGAAGCATCAGGGTAGGTTTGAAGGAGGAGGGATTTTAGAGAGTAATGGTACAGATTTTACCAGGGAGTTTTTCCTGTGCATGGGGTTGGGGGGATGGGAGAGGGAGAAGCAGACAGGTGGGTAACCCAGGCATAGTGAAGATAGGAGTCATTGGGAGTCCCTAAGCATTCCCTGTGCAGTCTAGCCTGACCTGTTAGCAAGGCAGAAGTGTCACCCATCAGGGCAGAGCATGCGTTCAGGGGAATAACACATGCAGCGACTAGTGACTACCGATGCTGCGTGCTGCAAAAAATGTAAAAAATAAACTAATAAACCCACACACCAATTTGCAGGTCTGACGAATGAACAAAGATGCTGCTGAATGTTATGCTTGCTGCTATTATTCATAAAACAGGTGCCAATTATGACTGCTTCATAATCAAATGCAAAAACCACTGGCCCATCCAGAAAACTCCTCACTTTCCCTGATGACTAAATGGATTAAATGGAATTCCATTGTTCCTCTTTGGGGGATGCACCATTATATTTTTGGTTTATTCTTTTGCTCACTACCCAGAGGGCTTTCATGATACAGACTTTAAAGGCTCTTCTTTATTAATGGTTATTATTATCTTAACCAGCTTGCAGTAACAGAGCTTCCCTTTGGAAACAAAGGACCAGTATACATTAAGGTGGAGGCACGTTCATAGCTGCACAGTAGGAACATTATTTCCTCCTTTCTGCTCCCAATGGAAGGGATTTCAGTGGCTTTCCTAAAGCCAGGAGCTTTTCCATCTCCACGGTGTTCCTCACTGGTGCCTCATAGAGGCAGGTGCACACTTGTACAGTACTATGTATCTCTGTTTACTAGGGAGCTGTAAGGTAGCTAGCACCATGGCTGGCTCATGGCACGTACTGTGAAGAGTATATAAATGGTTTGGAAGCCTGTTTAAAGATGAATCTCCCTCTTCCTGCAGTGAGAATGTCTGGAGAGAAGTTGAGAATATTTTGATTGCTAAGCAAAGGAAGAAAATATCTTTTAGGACCAGCTGGGATAATACTTTCAGTACTAGCACTGTAGATTTTTCCTACAGCTGGTATTTTAGGTGGTTGGAGAATTCAGAGAACTTTGGGTACAAGATGTGTCACCTCCAGAATGACCAGTCCTAGACCTGGTCTTCACATAGTTTTTGTATCAATATAACTATTTCGGTGAGAAGGCCGATGTTTTTACTGAAATAATTATATTGATACAGACCCTCATGTGGTTGCAGTTACAGCGCCATAATGTGCTTCACACACATATAGCTTATTCACCTTTCCATCCGGGAATAACTATCCCAGTATAAAGCACTGGGTATATAGCCATATTATGAGGATTGTACCACCATTACTGTACAGGTGTAATTAAAGTGGTACAACTGTTGAATGTAAACAAGCCTCCAGCTGTAGATCCCTGACATAGTGCTGGGCAACAGAAATGTCATATCAAACTAACAGGCTTTTTTAGCAAAATTAGAGAAGACCCCTCTGCCCTCTTTTGCCTCAGGTGACCTTTGTTACCTAAAGAGCCTGGATCCCATTGATCATCACAGTTCACAGTCGATGACACAGCAGATGTTCCTTGGGTCATAAAATACACCCTTGAAGACTGCTCCTTGAAGGGTAAAATCATGCCTGACAGATGTTTTCCTCTTCCTTGCTAATCTCCTTCTGGCACAGCTTTCCTCCTGGCCTGCAAGAAGAGGCTAACATATCATAACATCAGTCACAGCTGAGTTGGAGATGTTCTGCTGGGATTTGCATTGGGAATTTTCTGGAAGGAAACAAACAGTCCCTCTGTGGAGAGAAGCTTGTGTTCCTCTCCTCTTTCCTCCGCTTTCTTAAGCTTGAGCACAGGGAGCTGTTCAAAGGCCAACATTGCAAATTCACCATGTTGGAATGCTTGATACTTTTCGAGCCAAATGGTGGCTTTAAGGCACAGGCCTGCGTTGGGGATGGTGTAGGGCTACAGGCAGTGGTTTTCAAACTACGGGTTGTGACCCACTACTGGGGCATGGAATGTCAGGCCTGGTGTCTCATTGCTGCAGGGTGATCAGGTGAGAAGTGGGGTGCTAACGCAGCTTCCCGCCTGTCCTGGCACCGCAGACTGCGCTGCACCCCAGAAGCGGCCAGCAGCAGGCCTTGCTCCTAGCTAGGGGAGGGAGGGAAAAGCACAGGGCTCCGCACACTGCCTCTGCCCTGAGTCCTACTCCACCCTCCCATTGGCTGGAAACCTGCTGCTTGTTGCTTCTGGAGAGCAGCATGGTCTGTGGTGCCAGGAGAGGCAGGAAATCTGCATTAGCTCCCCTGCTGCACCTTTGACCAAGCGCCTTTCAAGGTAAGCCTCTACTGCCACAGCCCTGACCACCCCCCCAAGCCAGAGCCCCCTCCTACACTCCAAAGCTCTCATCCTCAGTCCCACCCCACAGCCCACACTCTAGTCAAAGTATGTTGGCTATCAACTACTTCATACCAGTCGCAGGGAGCATTAGGACTTGAGTTCAAGGTGGTTCCTGAAGTGGCCAATATCACATGAACTCATGCTGACGCATGTGACAACATAGCCAATGACATGAGAGCACGCCTGATAGGTAAACTGGACACGAGGGAGGAAGGGCGCGAGAAGAGTGCTGGAAGCTTGTGACTCTCTTTCACTTCACTCAGTGAGTGCCAGGAAACTGGAAGCCATTGCTCCTTGGTATTGTTTACCTCACAAAAGTGTCACTTATTGACAGGGGCAGATGACTGTTTTGCAGGGCCCCGGGCAGCATAACTCTGCAGGGCCCCCCCCTTTGCCACGGCGCATGCGTGGGGCTTTTTTAAGCGCGGGGCCCAGGGCGGCCGCCCCGTTCGCCCTGCCCTATATCCGCCCCTGCTTATTGATGAAGTCAGAGCTAGGAGGCTGTTTGCAGGGTGAGAAATGAGTTGGTTTCACTGCATATCTTCCCCCTTTGAAACTGGCCTGGTTACAAATATCCCAGCTGCGACGCTAGTGTACTTGTTGCTAAGCTAGTGACTGCCACTGCTAATAGCTTATCTGGGTCACTTGTTTGTCAGGGTTTCTCCACCTTTATGGCAGCCTTTGCACTTAACGTTTCTCTTCCTTTTTGCTATGATGATAATTAGAAGTTATACAACTTTGCATGTTTGTAGCACCTTTCACCCTTCACCTTTCACAATTCTGTCAGAATACTACACCCTGGATTTTTTCCCAGACCAGGGCTGAGTCTGTGAGTTTGCACATGAGCAGTTGTGCATGATCACTACCATGCACGCAAGCTCACACAAAGTCGGAAATCATGTTCACACATGGTTAGCAAGACTCTTATGTAGTAAGAGGATGCACAAATACCCAACTTGCACTGACATGCAGTAGTGCATATGCAAATTAGGGACCTAATTCTCTGCTACCTGCAGCTTATGTGGCCATTTACATCTGTGCAAAGTGGAAGTAAAATGCTACTATTCTGATTTGACAGTGCTTTTATATTGATTTTGCTCTAGTATAAATGGCAACTTGAGTAAGGTAATAGAGAATAGAGCCCTTTTATCTGAAAGTGCACTTCTCTATGTGTGTGCAAGCTGGGAATTGGACCTTTAATGTGCAAGTGTATGTATGTAAATTCATGCCTAATTTTGGTATGAAAAATTAGTTCCTGTGTTTGCAGGAAATGCTTTGTTCGCTAGTAAAATCCACCGGTGGTGAGGAACATGGCTGCTGTTTAACAACACACAGCAACACTGCAGTATACGTATGGCGTATACAGTGTAAGTGAACAGCATCATCATTATTTAAAGGGTAAGAATAATAGTGCCTTCCAGTTTACCTAGAACATCATTGCTAGACTCTAATGTCATGCAAAACGTACCACAGGATCCGTAATGACCACAAGTGCTGAGATGTTCAAATAACCTTGTAGGTCAGTTTTCTTTGAAAGGTGACTTGTCATGAGTGGGAGGAGAAAGCAAAGGGCTTTTTTGTCTCTGTCCTCATGAGTTTGGCCTTTGTAAGCCCACATGGTATTTCCCATTACATTTCTTGAGAGTTTGTGAGAAACCTGTAGAACTGACAAAGGTCACTGATGATTATCAGGTTGAGATACTTGGAAAGTTCATCTTTATTTACATAGATACATCAATGGCTAAAGCAAAACTAAGATCCTCCCCCGGGGGAAGGCTAATAGTGTGAAAGGCACATAATCATACAGATCCCAGAGACATTTTAAAATGCAGTTGCTTCTCATGATTTTGATTCCCTCTTGACAGTACGACATTGGCACTGCATTTGGGCACTTCTAATAAGACACCCCCACCTTCATCAACAGTTAACATTGGATTTCTTTTGGTATTTCAGATCTTGTTTTCCAACATCGAAGACATTCTTGATGTTCACAAGGCGTTCTTGGCTGCCCTGGAATTTTGTTTACAACCAGAACCTCAATCTCAGCATGAACTGGGAAATGTTTTCTTAAAATTTGTGAGTACAATGACTTAATGCTATCTGTAAATGCAGCTTCCTGTCACATGCTCCCATGTTCCTTAGCTAGCCCTAATCTCTTAAGTTTGGTAGTTGTGCCATGACAATGTGTATCTTTTATGAACATACTATGTGGGGTGGGAAAACACTTTGTGAATGAGACTGGAACAATGGAAACAAGATCAAACCCAGCTAAACAAGGAGGTATTTTTAGAAATTGTTCCTTTTCCCTGTATATAGAATTTCTTTTTTCTTTTCGTCCAATCCAGCTGATCATATTTTACTGCTAAGAGTTTATTTTCTTTGGCTCTAAAAGTTTCAAAAAAAGAATATCCATTCTAAAAAGAATCAATTAAAAAATCTCTAGGTTTTAGTACAAAATAAGATAGAGATTTTAATCCACAAAAGACAAGAAATTCAAAACTAAGGCAGTATTTCTTTCTTACGGGAGCAGTGCTCCTTAATGACTTGGTTACACGATAAAGGCCTCATTTTCAAACGTTTAGGTGTGCAATCCCATGATTAAAATACATGAATTGTGCATGCAAGAAAAGTGATTATGAATGTGTACAGCTTGATTGGCATCTCACTCGTGCTATTTGCATGCAAAATTACCAGATCTGCATACAATAACGCACAATTGCACGGACATTTTGCATATGCAACTGCATAGCCAAGGTGTTCAAAAATCAGAAATTTCCCACACAGCATATTTGCTGTGAACTCTAATAAATAAATTCAACAGCAGCACCTCTTCTTTCAAATCTGTTCCATCATGCTTTAATAATCTGGAATGATCTAGACCCGACAGTGTTGCTGGGTCTGAGAGCACAGAATTTATACATTAGTTTATCACCTGCTTCCTTTGCACATCTTTATTTATTATGCAACAATCATATAAACATTCCTACTAGTGGAATCTATTGATTATAGAGCACTGTGCGGATATAAAATTTGTATCCATATCTGCATCTGTATCCACAAAAATGAGCCGTGGATATCTGCATCCATATCCGTGGATGTGATACCCGCAGATATAAAGCAGATATCCGCGGATTTGCAAGTTACAATTGTTTATGTTGTACGAATGCCCGGGGTCCAAGGGAAGGTTAACAAAGGGGGAGAAAGCAATTCCTTAAAATGTGTAGTTCTGCTGGAGTTCAGAAGATAATATACAGCCTTGAGTGCCACAGTGTGACAACAGAAAGGGCTAATGCTCGGGGGCCTGTGTTTTGCCATAGTGTAGATTTAGTCCCTGGTGACCAGCAGTGACAATTCTGATGCAGCAGCTTGTGTTTAAAGCAACTCTCCAGTTCCCCTCTGTGCTTAGGGTACCTGTGCCCCATATGTATAATTCGTACTGTTCTAGTGAAGAGTGCGCAAGCTGTACTATGGAGCTGCCATTGGAGCCGTTTTCCATGGAGTCATTGCATAGTTTCAGTGAAATGGTGGGCGGTAGGAGAAAAAAGGACAGAAGAGAAAAAAGGACAGAAGCCTGGGTGCACACTCTAGGCTTTGAAGGGAAAAAGGACTGCATCCCTGGGGAGCCATCGTTGGTTGGGACAGAAGTGTAGAGCTTCCACGTTTCCATAGCACATGTTGTTAGCCCGTTTGACAAGGGAGCAAACAACCTAGATCATTGTTTCTTAAACTGTGTTCTGTGGCACACCGGGGTGTCACGAGGCAGTCGGAGATGTGCCGCGGAGAACAACAGAGTTCAAAATGGCCGCCCTTGCTCAATAATAACTTTTCCCCTGACTCTTCCCCCCCACACACAGAGACACTTTTTTTTTTTTTTTTTTTTTTACACACAGTAAAATTAAATAATGTGGGATGTTTTACTAATGGACATAATAATCAGCTTTAAAAGGCAAGGAAGAAAACCTTGAGATAACAAATATTCTAAAAATAAATCTTGTAAATCTCTGGGTGAGCCTAGCAAGTAGAGTCGAATGGATAGATGGATTCCACCCTGGATTGCATGTACAAATCTCTAAAGGTTCGGTGTATCCAGACATCACTCTCACCAGAGAGTTTTTCTTAACAGCAAGATCATCACTGTTCCTATGGGCTGCCCCTGAACACCTGCCCTCCACGTGCTCCGGGGTTGGGGAGACTAAAACTGTGCCACCTGCCCTCCCTATGGTGCTATACAGCAGTGGGTGTGGGAGGAACGGCTTGGCTCCTGAAGAAGACGGGGCCTGGGCACAAGAGGCGGGACTGGGCAGCAGGGCTGGGAGCTTGCCTCCTCCAGTCCTACCTTAACCCAGTGCCCATGACTGTTCCTGAGGACAAGTGCCACACCTGTATCACCTGCCAGATGTTAGCACAGATGTTCCCTTGCAGCAGACAGCTGTTTAAAAAAATGCTTCTCAATTCAGCAAATAGAGTGAGAATTCCAGGACTCAAGTGCTTACAGGCCAATGGTGTCTCTTTCTGACATTTCCCTGGAATTTCTAAGCTCTAAACGTTTTCCCTGAGTTTCCTTGTTATAAAGGCTCTTTTGTGCAGACCATGGAAACATCAGGCTGTCTGCGGAGCAGAAATGCTCAGAGCTGGCCAGAGCTTGGTCTCTCTGTTATTGCCAGAGCTGATTCATGTCGGGTAGAAGCAGGACAGGAAGTCTGTGTGCAGATTCCTGGATCACAGGGAACTACCTGCTGACAGTGATAAAATTTCAGAGGCCAAGCAATATCCACATAACTTACGGTCTGAACAAATCACAGAACTCATCACCCCTCCCCCCAAAAAAAATCTAACCACACATCAGCAGTCTCACACCAGCACATTCAAGGGACTTTAAGTTCTCTTTTATTTTTACTTGACAGCTCCCTCCTGGAACAATGAGGCTTCATATCAATGTCACAAAAGTTAGGCAGAAACTAGCCAAGCAATATCTATCAATGCATATTTATGGGCTCGCCTATGTAACTGACCTGCTCCATAGGACAGCCTTAACCTTCATCCTGCCTTAGGTCTACAGTGATGAGGACAAGACAGGTTGCTGACTAACCAAGCCAGTAGGTCTAGATAGGAGCCTTACTAGCTGAGAGAAACAGTGTGTAGTTCGGGGTGGGCAGTAATTTCTGCAGGAGGGGTCAGTTAATGAATTTTGGTACATGGACATGGGAAGGCTCCCCTGGAAGTGGTGGGGCTGAGGTGGAAGGGGCGGGGCTAGAAACTAGCCCCCCCCCTCCAGGTGTCTGGGGCCAGAGGCTTTGAATTAAAAACACAGCAAAGCGCTCACGGCTCCCATCCCTGCCATGACCACATTACCTGGCAGTTACCCGGGAGTGCTGCAGCTATTTAAAGGGCTCGCCACTCTTGCTTCTACCAGGATAGTGCCACGACTGTGAGCCATGAGCCATTTAAATAGGATCCTGCTGCTTTAGCTACCGCCTGGAAATTCAGTGGCACAGGCAGCAAGATATAAATAGAAAGTGGCCAGATGCAGTCTGCAGGCCGGATCAAAGTGTTATATGGAGCAGATCCGACCCCCGGGTTGCCTCTTGCCCAGCCCTGTTGCAGATGTACCAGATAGCTCCAGCCCTCCAATTCAGCAGGGCTGGTTTAGCTGGTCTCATCAGCTTTCTGAGCGCCTATTAATTGAATTAGATACATGAGTGGTTTGCCTGGTGCTGTGTGAATGTGATCGGACAATTCAGTCTCCAGGATGAAGGAAGCTGATGTCGCATCCCCCATGTGCACTGGAATCAAGCAGTCTTGAAGCATTGAAGAATGTGCTCAAGTTCCTGAATAAAGATGGAAATGACCGCATGGTTAAAATTAAACATGTGCTTGAGTGCTTTGATGAACTGGGGCTTGCGGGGCTCCTCTGAGGGGAACATCTTACTCTTCCCACTTCCCACTCCAAGGGCTCCACGCAAGGATCAGAGAGAATATTGGGGGGACAAGGCTTTTAAGAATACTCCAACTTAGAGCAGTCAAAACTTATTTTTGTCGCTACAGCAGCTCTGGCTTTGGATGCACATGGGGAGCAGATCTGCTGAGTAAGAAGGTGACATTTTTACCCGGTCCTTTTTCTGACCATAATTGCACTTTAAAGTAGCGGTAACTGTAGGCTCAGCATTCCAGGGGACACATCTCTAATTATGGAACTGATAATTTCCTCATTCATGGGGAGCAGGGAAACCTCACTGTCACCCAGAGAGGAAATTAAACACTTCACACACTGAGTAATTTACAGCATAGCTCTCACACATGTGGGTCTTATGCATGAAAGGCGGCTGGAAAGGACTTGATGAAAGCACTTTGGTGCGTGTATAATTATTGTATTGAGTCAAGTTTAACAGGGGGATTTTGTCATGATCTAACTATAACCTCCCACAATGTTGAAGACATGGAGCTGCAGTCAGTACAGTGAGCAATGACATTTGCTCTTGTTGCATGGAAATGAGCTCTTCCCCTGATCTGAAACAGATGCTGTCATGTTAACAGATGCTAGTTTTTAAGCGTGCTGCTCCTGTGCATCTGGGCTTGCACAATGGAGTCAAAAAGAGCAAATATTTGAGGGACTAATATACCCAGCTTCTCCTTCTTTAACTTGCTCTTTTAAAGACACAGTCAGTCCCATCATTCCCAGTTGCCTCCATCCATGTGAGTCATGCACCTAACCTGTGTCTGGTGGTCTGGAGCCTCCCTTTCTACCCAACTCCCTAGGATTAAAGCCATATACCAATGTTAACCATGCAGCTGAGAGATAAAGTTCCAGAGTCTGCTTGTCAGCTTCTCACTCCAATTTCTTTGTGGCTGCTGCTTTGTTTGCCTTATGCCATTGTTGTGTTTGGGAAGAAATCAGTTTAGTCTTCACTCTACACCCATCGTTAAAAGGAGAAACAAAATGCCCCATTGGATCAGTGATCCTTTGGTTTAAAAAAACAGGCAGCACTTTACTCAGTTCATGTCCACGTGTCCAGCCCTCAAACTGTCCAGTCCTCCTGTATCAGTGTGTAAACACTGTCTTCCATGAGGTCATAGGGAAGGGAATTCACTGTGGATGCAGCTATTTTTTTCCAGAGCCATGTTATATAAACTGTTTCAATCAGCCACAGTTTTTACTTGGATTTGTACATATCTACATAAATAAAGCTGCTCAAATTTGGAAGTATCTAATTGCAGTGTGGGCAGGAAGATCTATATGGACCAATGCCAGCAAAATACTGCTCCTAAAAGTGCCCATAGTGCTCATAGTTTGGGGCAGATTGTGTCAGAACCCCAGATACAGGAAGGTGAATGGAGCTTTCACAAAGGCCTTTAAACGATAAGGTGCTGGAAATAATTTTTTTTGCTTTTCTGTGAAATATTCCACGTTGTTCTCCAAATTAGTGATGTTTGGGGGGGACTCAGCATCTTTAATCTGTTAACACTTGGGGAAAATTCTACCATCACTCTCACCTGGTGGTTTAAATGAGACAGAACATGGTACTACCAGCTGCTTCTTGTAGTTTAACAGGGAGATTTAATTTCAGTTTGTGAGTGTGACATCATGTGAACGGCCAGAAGGACCATGTTTATTTACAACACAGTAGGTGAGGAACTGGAAGAGCACCTCCATGTATTGTTAATGTTGTGCCTAAACTCAGACTCCTTTGCAAAGTAGGAATCAATATTATTCAGAGAGAAAATATGCAATCCAACTCTGCCCATGCAATCACACTGTGAGTCAACATGTGTTACTTTTTTCTTGCAGAAAGACAAGTTCTCTGTGTATGAGGAGTATTGCAGCAACCACGAGAAAGCACTCAGGCTTCTAATGGAACTGAATAAGATTCCAGCAGTGAGAGCATTCCTCTTGGTGAGCATCTTTTCTAGCATCCTATTGCTTGAACAGTCCAATTGGGTACTCTACTTACAAGGAACCCTTCATGTCCCAGGGGATCAGAGCACTTTACAAACATGAACTCTTCAAGCCTCGCTGCTACTAGTAGGAGAGATCTTAATATGCCCATTGTTTTGACTGGCAAACTGAGTCACAGAACTAAATGCAGCCCTGGACTGAGCAACTTCAACAGGAGGTTATCCCCATTTTGTCCAGAGAAGAGGTGACACACAAATGATTAAATGAGTTGCCCAACAAGTCAGTGGCAGAAGTACGAATAGCACCCCAGTTGATCGGATTTCCCAGTCTGTGCACTGAGCAAGAGACAGAGCTCCCTCCCAAAAAGGTGAACTGCACTTCTTGACTATTTTCTCCTTCTTTGACGGCATTTCTTCCTTTCAACACCCTCACCCCTTATTCATTGGTTCTAGGCCATCTCTTTATTGCCAACCATGGGTGTTGCCATCATTTGATAGGGTGATGATGTTAAGTAAAGTTCTTACTGCATGCCTTAAGGTAGAAAGGAGGCTGCCCTTTTGAAAATATGGCCCTTCTATCATTGCCTTCTACTCCTAACATGTCTCCCGCCTACTAAAGGCCTAGTCGTTGGTGATTAAATAGAGAAGTGGAAGCCTCTTCTGAATGAATGTCCCTCCCAGGTAAGCCTTCACCCCCTGGGCACTTTTCTGCCACGATTCCTAGACCTAACAGGAAGGGTGGAGAACAAGTGTTCAGTCCTATAAATATTTAGGCTCCCTTTGCTCTTCTGAGTTTGAGTTAGTCCCATGACGTCACCATGGTTTTGAAGCACTGAAGTTTCTCTTTCTAGCCTGCTGGCTTCTGTGTATGTCTCGGCAAAGGTCTAGAGAAAAAAGTGCACATGACAATTGTTTGAGAGTACATCTAAACTGCGCACTTATTTTGAAATAAGCTGTTCCGGAAGAAATACTCCAAAATAGCTTATTTCAAAATAGCACGTCTACACTACACGGAAGGCTCAAAATTAGTCCAAGGCAGGCTTCTCTAATGTGGTTGTGCTCTCTCAATTTAGAGCCCCATGAGGCACTGGGGAGTAATTAGTTTGTAAGTCCCTGGGGAAAAGAGATTTTGAAATAACAGCAGTGGAGCATCCATACTACTGCTATTCCGAAATAGCTGTTTCAGATTAGACGTTATTCCTCATGGACAGAAGTTGGAATAAGCTGTCCGTTATTTCAAATTTAATTCGAAATAACGGAATTGCTGTCTAGATGTTCGCATTGTTATTTCGGTGTAACGGCCGTGTAACAACGTACGCACAGGGATAGTCAATCTGTGCCTTTATTCGTGTCCCACCACCATCATCCCCTAGAGGACGCAAGAGTCTGGCCTGCCTAAAGTCCTGTCTTTACTCTGTGGCTGCCCCGTTGGTTGCTCTGAGCTGGCCCCAGGTGTAGAGGAGAGGGGGTCTGGGCCCGCCCTCTCCCATGAACCCTAGCCCAGGGCCCTAACGACGCAGACCCACTGTGGTCCAGTCTGGCTAGCAGGGTTTCCAGCCATAACACACCAGCCCGCGGGCTATTAGGGAGCCCTGCCCTGGCCGGCTTCCTCTCCCCTTACCTAAGCCTCCTTTCCCTCAGTGTTCCGGCCTCTCGCCACGTCCCCGCATGAGCCTGCTGGGTGGCCGACTCCCCGTGCCGCTTCCTCCTCCCCTGCAGAAAAGCCGCTGCTCTTTTTAAACTTTGGTGCTGGGGTGTTGCGTCATATCCGGGCGCCATCCCTCTCTCCTCCGTGCCCCCTCCCCTCCCTCATTGCCTGGGAGCACGTTGCGCATGCTCCCTTGCAGCCTTCCTGCGCCCCGCCCCTGGCCCGCTCCGGGAGGTAGGAGGGGTGGGGGCACTGATTTCCATCCTACATGGGCTGGAGACGCACTGCACTGCGCCGGCCTCTTCCCTGCTGCGCCGTGCCCCATACAGGGCCGCTGCTGGTGGCTCCCGGGTGCAGGGCAGCCATGCCCCGTCACAGTCCGCTATTCCGAAATAACGCTGCTGTGTACTCTCACCCTCAGAGTGTTCTCTGCACTTACTAATTGGACCAGCAGAGACAAAAAGCATTAGCTATGTTGTTGGCCTCAACCAGTAAACTGGGCAGAAGGCCCAGAGTGAGAGATGATATGCTGCCAACTGTCATTTTCTGTAGCACCTAAATTCAAAAGATTCTCAAAATAGCTGTAAATACGGGGAAAGCACTAAACACTGTGCTTTGCCATGGCTGTTTTAATTCCTTCCACTCCCAATCTCCCATGAAAGCCCATGTTGTAATGTCACCATGCAACAAGGGCTACATTAGAATACAAAGCATTGCTTGTATGAAGGGGTTTGGCCCGGGTGCCCTCTTGCAGCTGGTGAAGTATAGAGCCCAGCCTCAGAAGATTTAAAAATGTATCTTGAAACTCAATGAGAGTTAAATGGCCATTTTGAGGCCAATGTTGGAGCAATGGGCGGAGAAGAGGAATGGAAAGGATTGAATCAGACGAGATGCTTGGAAAATTGAATTGAGCATTTTATGAGCTGGTAGCAAGCACCACAGATCTCAAATAGCCTGGAGAGTAGTTACTGTGCAGGGGACTATATGCAAAAATATTTCTCAGGGCTGTTGATGAATATGTCTGAGAGGGCAGTTTGAAAATAGTATGATTCAACCTGCAGACATAAAAGCTCCAGTTCTCGGAGTGCTTCTGGGCCACTGCAAACATTGATGCACTGGGAAAATGTTCTCAATGAACAAAGCAGCTGAAGCTTGGTTTGTTTGGGGCTTCATTACAAACTTATCACTCAACTTTGGTTGACTGAAGGTTTTGTGAGTCTTTCAAATATACTTTAAATGAATTATGGAACAACTCTGGTCCTTTTGCCTGGACTTGGTTGGGTTTGAATTGAATTTTCTTACTTCTTGTATCAGCAACAATTGCTCTGAGTATATATGTTTATATAGTCCCATTCATTAGTCCATTAGTCCTATAGTCTTATTTTCATTTTGGGTACATCTATACTGCACGCTTATTTCGAACTAAGCTATTCCTGAATATTTATTCCGAAGTAGTTTATTTCGAAACAGCACAGCTACACTGCAGGCCTAATGTAGACATGCTGTCTCGATTTAGAGCCCCAGGAGGCACTGGGGAGGAATAACTTAGAATGGCCCAGGGGAGGGCTATTTTGAAATAGCAGCAGTGGAGTGTCTAATAGCTATTTTGGAATAGGTGTTATTCCTCAAAGAGTGAGATTTAAAGATTTTGGAATAAGCTGTCCGTTATTTCGAAACTATTTCGAAATTGTTTTTTTGAAATAATGCTTGTTATCTCGAAATAGCGGTGCAGTGTAGATGCACCCTTAGTCTGTAAAAGACAAGACTGAGAGGGGACATAACAGCTTTCAAATACCTTAAAGGGTGTTACAAGGAGTAGGGAGAAAAAAATATTCTCCTTTACCTCTGAGAACAGGAAAAGAAGCAACGGGCTTAAATTGCAGCAAGGAAGATTTAGGTTGGGCATTAGGAAAAACTTTCTAACTGTCAGGGTGGTTAAACACTGGAATAAATTGCATAGGGAGCTTGTGGAATCTCCATCATTGGAGATATTTAAGAACAAGTTAAACATCTGCCAGGGATGAACTAGATAGTGCTTGGTCCTGTGGTGAGTAAAGAGAACTGGACTTGATTATCTCTCAAAGTCCCTTCCAGTTCTAGTGTTCTATGATTAACTATATAAAACCAAAAGTGGGTGGGTTTGAACCTATCTTGGGTACAGACATGCCCATGCACCTTTTTTTTGTCTGGAAGCTTCAGGGTCTCACATAGGGTAAACGCAAAGTACTCTGGAGCCAAACAATGGGTTCTGCCATGATGATTAGTCAGTGAGACTGTCTATGGGATGCAGTGGACTTTGGTTTCCTGCAGTTCAAATCTTGGCCATAACTTTATAATACTGTTCCTAAGGAGAGCATCATATTTTAACCTTTTGGGTTTGATATTTTTGGAGCCCAGTTGTGGAAGCCTTATATATATGTGCGCTAACCTGGAGCCAAACAATGGGTTCTGCCATGATGATTAGTCAGTGAGACTGTCTATGGGATGCAGTGGACTTTGGTTTCCTGCAGTTCAAATCTTGGCCATAACTTTATAATACTGTTCCTAAGGAGAGCATCATATTTTAACCTTTTGGGTTTGATATTTTTGGAGCCCAGTTGTGGAAGCCTTATATATATGTGCGCTAACTCATAGGAGCTAGCTGCATGGGTGGTAGGTAATGGAGCCAAGGGAAGGCATTGCCTTCCCAACACTGTCCAGCCACCTGAGAGAGGCTGTGCTATGCGGCTTCCCAGTGGCTGAGGAAGGCAAGGGTCGTGCTACATGACAGCCTGACTCCCTAGTGGCCAGGGAAGGCTGGGGCCATGTGGCATTCCAGCTCCCTGGCCGCTGGGAAAGACTGGGGCTGTGCTGTGTTGCAGCCCAGCAGCTGGGGAGGTGATTAGTCTTAATTATTTGCATTAGTTATTAGTATTGCTATATGTATTTTTTTTCTTTTGGATGCGGGACCGTTTTTCATTCTGTTTGTACAGCACCTCCCACAATGAGCCCTGGTCTGTGATTGGGGTTCTTAGATGCCACCACAATACAATTTATAATCTACTGGCCCCTAGCCCTGACTTGTCCTGAAAATTTATCCGAATTACTGTGGGAACTCCTGACCTCTGTTTGGGAATGACATTGGATCTGCAAGGAATCGTACATGCAGCATTCTGCTTCATTTCTTGGTATGAAAAGTTATAAAGTTTTACAGCAGCAGATAAACAGTTTCTGCTTTCCAGGAAGTGGCTGCTTTTCAATTATGATGAAGTGATTCTATTTCCTGTACAATGTATTTTGGGATCTTAATGTGTGAACAGCACTAAGGGCCTATAAAGTCATAATCAAACAGTGCATGGGAGTGTTGTATCAATTATGATGTTTCTTTTCCTTTCTGTGTATAGAGCTGCATGCTTTTGGGAGGCAGAAAGACAACAGACATTCCACTAGAAGGTTATCTGCTGACACCAATTCAGAGAATTTGCAAATATCCACTGCTCCTAAAGGTATGGTTTAGAATAGAATTTCCACAGCTGTCTGCTTTGTTCCTGGGTTCCTTTTGCAGATGTTCAGCCTTGGCTCTTGAGCACTTACTTCTGCCTTCTCATGTGCATATCAAAAAGTTAACTTACATCCTCTGCATGAATGAGTTTTGTAGGTGTAGTCAAAGGCTGGCTCATGTCTAACAGATGGGTGATTACTGCAATGGTTTGGCTAGGTGAGAAAGGCTGATGTACTGACTAGGTCATGCTGTTCTGCTTGAGAATCACATGCTCGGAAGCATCAGTGCTATTTTAGCCACTTCCTGAAAAGCTGTGTTCAAACAGTTATATCATTACTCTGAGGCTACGTCTAGACTGGCATGATTTTCCGAAAATGCTTTTAACGGAAAAGTTTTCCGTTAAAAGCATTTTCGGAACAGAGCGCCTAGATTGGCACGGGCGCTTTTCCGCAAACACACTTTTCGCGGAAAAGCGTCCGTGACAATCTAGACGCGCTTTTCCGCAAAAAAGCCCCGATCGCCATTTTTGCGATCGGGGCTTTTTTGCGGAAAACAAATCTCAGCTGTCTACACTGGCCCTTTGCTCAAAAGTTTTGCTTAAAAGGACTTTTGCCTGAATGGGAGCAGCATATTATTTCCGCAAGAACACTGACAATCTTACATGAGATCGTCAGTGCTTTTGCAAAAATTCAAGCGGCCAGTGTAGACAGCTGGCAAGTTTTTCCGGAAAAGTGGCTGATTTTCCAGAAAAACTGGCCAGTCTAGACACAGCCGGAGTGTTGGGCGAGTCAGGGAATGACGTATGTTGGGATAGCAAGCCTTCCATCTCAGGGTCACTGGTTTGAATCCATCTGTGTCTGTAGGGATTACACCCTCTTGATGTTTGGCAGCTTTTCTGCAATGTGCTCAGTTGACAGGTAACATTGCAAAAAACACCCCTCCTGTTCACGCTAATTGTCCCCCTTGTTGGCAATCTCAGCAGATGAGCCAAGGAATGAATAGAGGCAGTGAGGACTGAACTTACTTCTCCTCCCTTGCAGTGTCCCCTCTAGATCAGAACTGAGGCACATGGGCAAAGCAGGCCAACGTGGGAGAACTTGCACCTCCCCTGTCCATGCTGTGCCTAATTTTGTTGTTAAAACAGAAAATGCCAGTTTCCCTGGGCTGCCTGTCTCATGCCTTCCTCTAGAATCACATTAATTGATTAAGATTAAAAATAAAAGAAGCCACTATCTTCCATCTCAGCTGCCTTTGTCAGGAATTACTGTAATACTGTATCCATTAATTCCAAATGCATGAAAACTATCACTACCTAGGTTCGGACTCCTTACCCTTTTTCTCCTTTTATGAACCCACTGTTTGCTTATGTCATTCTATTGTCTTTCCTCTTTATTCCCTCCTCCCTGCCCCAGATATTCAATTGGCTTTCCATTTATGCATGTGCAACTTTACAGGTGGTTAATCACATGTACATGTTGTTTTTCACATACTAGCAGTTGTGGGCACAGCTGGTAGGATTTATGTACACTGAACCTGTTTTGTGCAAACCAAGTGCGGCGGCCAGAGTGCACATTGGGTTTGCATACACAGGAGTGTGGGAGCAAAAAGAGCAGAAATAGAGGCCAAGGTAAGACTGCTATGAACATTTCTTCCTTCCTGTTAATAGTAGCTGAAAGAGGACAATACTCTTTGTCCTACAGTGCCACCAACTCTGGTGTATCTTTGGCCATGAGACTGGTCACATCTAGTCCACAGGAAACCTGGTTTGAATGGTGTGTCAGTTCCTGCAGTATATATGTGTATTTGTTTATGCAGGATAGGTTGGGGAGGATTGGGTGTCTGTTCAGACTTTGAATTTACACTGGGACTGTGAGCAATATTACTGCCCATGGAAAGATGTCTGCTGTGGAATCTACTAGGGTAAATAGGCCAGAGGAAGTGAGGATCTAAAAATGTGGTTGGTTTGCATTCCTGATCAAGGACCTTAGTAATATTTATGCTTCCTTGTTTCCACATTGTGATTGGTTGCTTATTTGGCTCCCAGCTGTGTTTGTCTGAGCGTTAAAATGCAGTCGTGATGACTGAAAATCTGAGGTTCTTTGAATTCCCTAGAGTGCCCAAATGTTTCAAAACACTGGACACACACAAGAGGGTAGTGACTGGATGGATTCTTGCTCGTGCTCCACTTCTCTTTGCCCCGCTCAGGAAAGTTCCTGCTGGTTGCCTGGATGGGGGAGTCCCCAGCAGGTGCAGAGCTGCTGGCATTTGCTCCTACACCCCTTGCACTACCCCCCCCCCCCCCCCCCATTGCCCTGCTGGGTGGAGATATACTGGAGGCGAATGGCCAAAGTGGCTAATGCATATTTTCAACCTGGGAAATGATCTTTAGGCTATTTTCTCCTGTGTCCAGGGGCTGATCAGAGAATCAGGGATCTCCTGCACTGCACGTCGTGGCAGTGAACTGTGCCCTAAAAGAGAATTAAAGCGCTTGATTCTGGCAGGCCATTGGTAGAAATCCATGTTAAAATATCATATTTTCCAAGCCTTAGGAATTCCCCAGTCCCAGTCAGCAGTGCATAGGCTGACTCAGAAGGCCAGACCTACCAGACATCAACAGAAAAGCAGAAGGCACTAAACTGTCTGAGAGAAACTTGTCTGAGAGGCCTTTTTGTCTTCTGCTTAGATTTACAACCTGGAAATCAGGACTTTTGGGTTCTTTCTCAGTTCTTCCAGGAGATCTGTGACTTGTGAGAATTATCTGTCTCACAAGGAGTGCCATGAAATTCATAAATTATTTGCAATTTGCTTTAAGCAAGGCAAATCTAGGGTTTCTAGATCTTTGCACATCTATGCAGACACTTACCATTATCATGCAAATAGAAGTCTGTGTACTATTTTAAAAGCCCATCAATATATTAGAAGAGCATATACTGTAAATATTACAGCAAATCATGAAACCTCAGCTCCTTCATTCGAAGACTGATAGGATATGTGCCGCTTTTTAAATACTATCCCTACGGTTGCTATGGAAACATCTCAGACAGAGGCAGACAGTTTTGACTGTCAGATAGCAGTTCTAGTGATATGATGAAATTTTGGCACGCTCTGACTTCCCTTTCTCTTTTTTTGCATAACTTGTGGTGGACGGCACTTAGTGGTTCCATGCCAGGAGATGACACGGGTTATGACTGGAATTTCCATAGAGTCAGTTTCTCCTGCTTTGTTTCAATAAAGAATGTGTCATTTTACAAATGGAGAAGGGGGAAAAGACATTTGAATAAATGCCACTAAGCCACAGGTTCAAATCTAGCCCAAATCAACTGCAACCAAAGTCATTAATATTTGATGACCATTTAATGGCCTTTTTTTAAACGATCTAGTGGTTTCAGTTCCCTCTCTCCTACTGAGGTACGTGTGTCATAAAAATCCTAGTTGGCGGCAATCTCCATGCTCTGAAGGCAGACTACAGACTGACTTGGCCTGGCAACTGAAAACAGCTTCTCCTACCTAGAAATGGGATAGTCAGCATGAAGGCACATTGCAGGAATGGGGTTAAGTGTGCACTGTTGATGCCCTGGCTATGCTTGACTTCTGGATAGAGGACCCACTGTTGCCCATTTAGTCTTCTTCACCACTATTAAATCTATTTATGAAACAGTAGTAGAGCACATTGCAAGGCATTATCGGGCAGGATGTGCTGGGTGGAAATTCTTATTTTGTTGCACGTCTTTAATTTATGAGATTCTTTTCACATCCTGGTTGGTTTAAATCACTGTGCATTTCTCAGCATTTCATGGACATGAAACAGGATCTGAAGAGAAGTCTGATAGAAGAGAAGTCTGAATAGAAATTTCTGATATTGACCAGCCTCAGAGGGGTAGCCATGTTAGTTTTTAACTTTAAAAACGAGTAGTCCTGTGGCACCTTAGAGACTCACAGAAATGTATAGACATTATCATGCACTTTCATGGGCAAAATTCACTACTTCAGATGAGCTTGAGTGGAGAAAAAAAGGGGGACCCTCAGAATTATATTCTATATTATACCCTCAGATTATATTCTGAGGGTCCTCCTTTTTTTTCTCCACTCAAGATCATCTGAAAAAGTGGGTTTTGTTCACGAATGATCATTATGATGTATATATATTTGTGTTAGTCTCTTGAATTATGTTTATACAGCAGTGTTATTTTGAAATAACTGACATTACAATATTCCGAAATAACATAGTCTGCATCTGCACTACAAGCAGTTATTTCAACATAATGTTGAACTAATGTCGAGCTGGAGGACTTCTTACTCAGAGTCCTGTAACTCTCATTTCACGAGGAATAAGGGAAGTCAGGGGAAGAGTACTCTTTTTCAGACTTCCTGGTGTGCAGACAGCGCCAAAAGTCTCATAAATTAAAGACGTGTACACTTAACTATTTCGACTTAAGCTATGCAATTGACGTAGCTCAAGTTGCATAGCTTATTTCAGCTTTAGCCCTGCTGTGTAGACATGCCCTAAGGTGCCACAGGACTACTCATTTTTTACATTGATCAGAAATTCCATCCTGAAACATTTCCACTAAAGTCAAAACCATCCATTTTGCACACAAAAAAGCTGCTTCTTGACAAATCAGCATTTCTAATGGAAAAAATTATATCATGGAAAATGCTGAAGGGAATGCAGCGTTTGTCCTTGCAATGCATCAGCCTTATCCAGAGAGTCCATGTAATTAGTGGAAATGCCTTTCAGCTCTGAAAATGTCCTTAATCTTCAGAAGCGATACATGTTTATGATGGATGTGTCGTGTGCCTTTCAAATCTCAGTTAATGCTGCTAAGAAAAAAATATAAAATGAAAATGGAAAGTTTTACTACCAGTTCCTCAGAAGAAGACATGAGTGTTTGGAATGATTCCATAAAAGCTGACCAATTAAAACCAGCTCTCCAAACCCAAAAATAAAGTAGGTGTTAAAACAATGCAACTTCCAAATACAGTAAAACTCCATTAGTCCGGCAT